TCGTCCAATCAGAGCGCAGCTATCGTCCAATCAGAGCACAGCTATCGTCCAATCAGAGCGCAGCTATCGTCCAATCAGAGCGCAGCTATCGTCCGATTAGAATTCTGCTATCGTCCGATTAGAATTCTGCTATCGTCCAATCAGAGCTCAGCTATCGTCCAATTAGAATTCTGCTATCGTCCAATCAGAGCTCTGCTGATGTCCAACTAGAATTCTGCTATCGTCCAATCAGAGCGCAGCTATCGTCCAATTAGAATTCTGCTATCGTCCAATCAGAGCGCAGCTATCGTCCAATCAGAGCGCAGCTATCGTCCAATCAGAGCGCAGCTATCGTCCAATCAGAGCGCAGCTATCGTCCAATCAGAATTCTGCTATCGTCCAATCAGAGTTCTGCTATCGTCCAATCAGAGCGCAGCTATCGTCCAATCAGAGGTCTGCTATCGTCCAATCAGAGTTCTGCTATCGTCCAATCAGTTATTTGCTCTTTTGCCTTTGAGTTGATGCATTTGACAGGTGGTCACATGACTGACAGGTGACAAAACGTACCTTACTGAACCACTTCGGGTTATTCTTCTTGGTCAGGGCCAGCGTGGAGCCGAATCCCGCGATCATTCCTGCGGACGCCACTGTTGTTAAAAACGCCACACCTGTAAACAGAACACCAGGTACGCTATGATGTCACTACAAACAGGTGCGTCTTCTTCTCTTTAGTTAGTTTTTTATTTTTTTTTTATTTTTGGTGCTTGACAAACAACTGTAAGGTGCATTACCACCACCTACTGATGTGTAGTGTGAAACAGGTGTGTCACTAAACTCAACACAGGTAAAGGAGGAAACTGTAGGGACACTACCATGTTTCTGTAAACAGGACTTATTTTATGTGAGTAAATGAAAGCCACGCGCTTCTGAATCCTCAGCAGTTTGACTTTAATCTGCATGTCCTTCAAAATAAAACATATCTATAGATAAAACCAGATTGATTTAATCACAGTTGAGCCAGCAGTTTAAAGCAGGTGCTGTGATCTTTAAATTGACTGTTTTTTGACTGAAGTTTGGCGGAAGCGGCTCGACTTTGTTTTGACCTCAAAGAAAGAAAAACCAAACAACAAACAGCAACGCGAGTTAATCTATTAAACCACAAACTCACCTTTTAATGTCTGCTGTTTGACCTCTTGATCGCGTTTACCTTCTTCTGTAAGGTCTTCATCAACACCGACGGTCGACATGATGCCCCGGTCCGTCTCCGTAAAACCACCGGACACAAACAAGTGAGAGCGGAACGGAAATTATTATTATTTTTATCTAAATAGAAAATCGTTTTAAAAACGTGTATTGAGTCAAAAAAATACTATGTCGTATTTATGTTATAAATTTAAATAAAATACAATTACTTGTGCTTTTATTAAATGTTATATTTCACAACAATGTGTTCTTATCAAAGATCGTCTATTATTCTGTTAAAAGCAGGATGAGGTTTCACTCCGTTTCTGAGTGTGTTTGGGTTTTTTTTCCTCGCGAAGTGATGCATCTCGATAGTAGAGGATCTGTGCAGGCTCCAGCAGCTCTGCGGAGAATGTAGATGCTCTTCACCACCTCCTCTTCATCATCCTCTTCATTTTTCCCTCCTCACTGAAGCCGATTATCTGAACCTCAGGAGCCGCTCCCGAATCACGCTCACAGCTCAGGTCCAGAACCCGACCCGTTAGCCCGGGAAGTCTTCAAACGTGATCAGAAGAGCGATGATTGGGTCCCGGACTGAGGGGTTTCCAGCGCGTGTGAGTCCAACCACGAGTTTGTTTACGGAATAATAATAATTTAAAAAAAAATTCTTGCTTTGTTTTGGTTCGGGCTCGTGAAAGAAAAGAGGGCTCGAGGTGTTCCGCGCGCTCAGCTCTGACATCCTTTGATCTTCGTGTCATCTCCCCCCACGCGCCGCTCACCTGTGAAGACTCATCATGTCTGAGATCCAGCAGACGGCTCCGTACGAACCGCGTCGGTACAGCCTGATCTGCACCTCTCCGCCCACCGCCGGCACCGAGCCGTGCCCCGGCCCGGCCCACCGCAGCCGAACCCCCCGCAGGAAGTGGCAGGTGTTCCCGGGGAGGAACCGGTTCTACTGCGATGGTAGGATCATGATGGCGAGGCAGACCGGTGTGTTCTATCTGACCCTGGTCCTGATCCTGCTCACCTGCGGCCTCTTCTTCACCTTCGAGTGAGTCAGAGGTTCTGGTTCCTAAAGTCCAGATGAAATATCAGAAAGCACAAAGTTTCACCAGAGTTTGATTTCTCTAAGAAATAAACAGTAAGAATCAAGTTAGTAGAAAAAAATCTGTTTTTGTTAAAGTGTAAAAAGCAACAAAATCATTTTAATTATTATTATTTTTTATATAAAACTGCTCATTAAATCAAATCAGATCAAACACTGTTTGACCCTTCTGCCTCTAGACTCCGGACTCTTTGATTCCTGAATATTTAGCATCCCTGACTCTTTGATTCCTGACTCTTTGGGATCTCTAAGACTTTGAACTCCTGACTTTTTGGTTCCTGACCTTTTGGACTCTGACTCATTGATTCCCAGTTCTTTGTGGTCCCTGAGCTTTTGATTCATGGCTCTTTGGTTCCTGATTCTTTGGACTCGTGACTCTTTGGTTTCTGATTCTTTAAACTCTTGACTTTTTGGTTCCTGTTTATTTGAACTCCTAACTCTGTAGTTCCTGATTCTTTGGACTACAGAATCTTTGCTACCTAATTTTTTTGGACTACAGAATCTTTGGTTCCTAAGTTTTTGGACTTCAGAATCTTTGGTTCCTGATTCTTTGGACTACTGAATCTTTGGTTCCTGATTCTTTGGACTACTGAATCTTTGGTTCCTGATTCTTTNCAGAATCTTTGGTTCCTGATTCTTTGGACTACTGAATCTTTGGTTCCTGAATCTTTGGACTACTGAATCTTTGGACTACTGAATCTTTGGTTCCTAATTCTTTGGACTACTGAATCTTTGGTTCCTAAGTTTTTGGACTACAGAATTTTTGGACTACTGAATCTTTGGTTCCTAATTTTTTTTGGATTACTGAATCTTTGGTTCCTGATTCTTTGGACTACTGATTCTTTGGTTCCTGATTGTTTAAACTTGTTTTAGCTCGACAGGCGGGAGGCGACGTCACTCGCTCCCCATTCATTTCCTATGGAGCTTGTGCGATGAGGCGACAATCGCTTGCCCTTCTCCGGCCAAATAACCGGTGAAAATTGTGCATGTGAAATTTCGTACATGTAGACGTGCACATGCGAGCTTGCAATGCAACATATGAAAGTTGAAAAATGTTCAACTTTAGTCGTTGTTGCTTAGCGTACAACCAATCAGCGAGGGTTTTATTGACGGACCAATGAGTGGAGAATATGCTACACACTGCAGTTAGCTAACACTTACAACATTATTTTAGCTCTGTCAAACTTTCCAGTTTTATATGACCATTCACCAAGTTGTTACTACAAAAGGCAGCTTTGTGGGAATTTGTTGGCACCAGGGTGAAGTTATCTGGTAAGTTTTTCTTCATAAAATTGTATTCTGGTGTGCGTTTGTTTTTCGATATCATTGACATCACAGGATTTGTTTAGTTTACACGCCTCTAATGCACACACACCTTATGTTGCGAACCACCAATAACCTTTACAAGAGCCAGTCGAAGAACCAATCAAATTTTGTGAAGACAAGCGACCTGAGAGCGCAATTAGCAGCGTTGCCGTCTCCATCGTGTCCAGTGTGTTGGGTTTCACCCTGGCTGCGAAGACAGCCATTAATCGCTGTCGTTTGTTGCTCCCCATGTGTCGAGCCCTTTACTCTTTGGTTCCTGATTCTTTGGACTCCTGACTCTTGGGTTTCTGATTCTATAAACTCTTGACTTTTTGGTTCCTGATTATTTGAACTCCTAACTCTGTGGTTCCTAATTCTTTGAACTCCTGATTCTTTGGTTCCTGATTCTTTGAACTCCTGATTCTTTGGTTCCTGATTCTTTGGGCTCTTAAATCTTTGATTCCTGATTCTTTGGTTCCTGATTCTTTGGACTCCTGATTCTTTGGACTCCTGATTCTTTGGTTCCTGATTCTTTGGACTCTTAACTCTTTGATTCCTGATTCTTTGATTCCTGATTCTTTGATTCCTGATTCTTTGGACTCCTGATTCTTTGGTTCCTGATACTTTTGACTCCTGACTCTTTGTTTCCTGAGTCTTTAGT